ATCTGGGGGTCATTCTGCAAGCCCACTTGTCCTACCATGTCTTTGGTCACAAGGAGCTGCTTCCAGGCCCTTCCCGTGTCCCCACATGAGCCCAGCACCCCTGCCCTGCCTGCGTTTCTCTTTCCTCTTCTCCCTCTGGGAGTTTCCCCAGGGACCTGCAGGCACCAGGTGGATGTCTCTGCAGGGATGAAGCTAATGGGCTTCTGCTGATCCCTTTCCACAGTAGCAAAGGAAGGGGGAAAATTAACTCACAGTTTAGAGGTGTTCCCTGGTCAATCTTGAGACCCCTGGAGGTGGGGGAATTGTGAGGTTTTCTCCATGATTCTTATGCCTTGGAGTTTCACCGCTGGACACAGGATGGCTCCGTGGTGGTAACTTCAAGCCTGGGAAGAGTTTGATGTAGGACGGGGTTTGACGCAGAGGTGCCACCAGTGAAGGTTATTGTCCCATAGCCAGGGCATCAAACTGCCCCCTGGGCACAGAACTACCCCTGCAAGAGCTCAGGGGCGGGGAATTAGCAGTAACATTACTGTGAGAGCTGTCCCCCTTGGATTACAAGGATACAAGGTAATCCCCGTATCTGAGCCCTTAAAACAACCTTCCCTCTTCCAGCAGCAGTCTGAAAATAAATAAATCTTACTTGTTTCCTAGGATTTTCCTTTTAAATTACACACAGGGTGGAAGGTTGGAGTCTTTAAGTATTATTCCTGTTTCTATTTTTGCCACCTAATTTCTGAAACCCAAATGCACTAGTGTGGTGATATCAAATTCTGTGGTCCATAAAAATTCATTAATTTTCTCAAGAACGACCAGCCCTAGAGGGAGTGCTAATACAATTTACATGTCACAGGTCATAACCGAACTTTTACTCCTGGGGCTATTTTTTTCCCTCTCCCCAATAAACTTTAGTTTTTTTGGTGGCCAGACGATGGATCCATCAGTGACAATTCACTTCAGGGACCCAAACATATGTAAAGTTGTCTTCATTCTCTGTAGACAGTGGCATATTTTTATTACCTATACTGACAGTTGCTCCAGAGTTCCTACATCCCAGGTTTCATTTCAAGAATATTTGACACCTTTCTGAAGGCAGTAGGGTAACAAACAGGCGGGTAACAAGACCTTAGGGCATTTGCATTTGAAGCAAACTGGACCTGCCCGCCATGAGGAGGTATAGCCTAGTTTGTGGTCAAAATTTACTTGTGGCCAGGAGTTTCCCCTGTTAAGCCCTGACGTTAGCTTGACCTGCTCTTGCTTGGACCTCTGTGAGTCCCAGTAAAAGAAAAGGAAATTTTCCGAGCTCCATGAGGCGTAGACATTTGACCTGTGCTGCCCTGCAGTTCTAAGGAGGCTGCTCTCGCTGCAGGGACCCGTTTGCCCCCGGGTCGACAGTTTCCAAGGCCGCTGATGTTGGCACCAAGGCAGGAGCAGTGAGTTGAGCTGCTGTGGACGCTCCTCTGAACAGAGAGGCTCAGAGGGTGCCTGGAGTTTGGACCCTGAAACTATTCAGCTCAGCCTCTTGCCCAGCATCTAAAGATGCACGGATGAGCCTCGCTGGAAATTTCCTTCTCCTCTTCTCGAGGGTGCCGGTGGCATCTCCTGAAGCTCCTTGTGCTTGGAGCTGTCCGTGCCGGCCCCCAGGCTTGGGGAGTGCGAGCCAAGAGGGTCTGTCAGCAGCAAGCACCAGGGCAGGGGACTCCTGCCACCGGGACTCGTCAAGTCGCGGGATGCTCTAGCAGAGCCCCCTGCTTGGCAGCAGCTTATTGGCTGAAAGTCAAAAATTGGAGCAAAATAGCTGTCTTGGTCTTTCCTTCCCTTTACATGCAAATACCAAGGAAAGCAACCCACAGGCACCCAACCTGCTGAATTTGATGCTTGTGTTCACAGCATCCCGACGCACCGGGCTTCGTTAGGGCGCTGGTGGGGCAGCACGCTGGAGACGGAGCTCTTGGCGGGGCACTTGGACCAAACAGCTGCCCCATAACGGGAGCAGATTTCCCCTCACTGCTCAAAGGCTCTTCCCGGGCCCTGTGGGGAGCCGTCCTCCTGCAGTAACACACAGGGCTGGAGCAGCAAGCGGCCGCGCGCCGGGACGGCTGTTCAGCCAGGCAGCGAGGGCAGAGCTGCTCCGAGAGCGGGAGAGCTGGGAGAGGAGCTGGGAGAGGAGCCACGAGGGTGCCGCGAGGGCACCGCGGCCTCCTGGGCCCACAGCTCCTCTGCCCACCCGCGGCGGCGCTCGGGGGACGAGCCCGAGGCTGCGAGCGGGGCCGCGGCCACCCTGTGAGCGGGGCCGCGGCCGCGACCAACAGCACGAGCGCGGCAGGGCTCTAGAGCTGCGCTGTGTTTTCCTACGAGCTGCGGTGAGCTGGGCAGTGCAGCCCATCTGCCTTCAGCTCTCAGGTGTGAGACGTGAGCAAAGCCCCGCTTGCCTCCTGATGAACGTTAACATTAAACTAAGAGCCGCTTGGCATCACCGTGCCCTCCCGCAGTGCTTATGCCTGCGGGTGCTCTGTGAAGGTGCTGGCGGGGCTGCCGCCGCCGCTCTCCCGTCCCCGGGTCGCTCCTCGCAAGGGCCTTGGGGCCGTTCTCCTCAGCAGCCGGCGCGGGCCCACGCAGGCGGCTTCGGCATCCCCGCGCTCCCGGGACGCGGGGCTGCGGAGCACCCACCTAGGGCCAGCCTGGCCCCTCTCCGCTCGCGTCTCTCACCTGGGGCATCTGCTTCCTACCTCCAGGCCCCAAGGAGGGGCTGGGTAAGGGCGCTCTCCTCATCCTTTTTCCCCTTCTTTTTATTGGTAACTTGGTTCTTCACTCCAGTCTTTTTCAAGGCTCTGCCGCTCCCTAGGAACTCCACAGAGGACTTCCCTGATGGATTTGAAGGCATTTGTGCCTTATTTCAAAGTCATCAGCTACATTGCTACCACCTGATGACAACAAGTTACACGCCGATGAGGCAGAGGGATGTGGCTCCAAGCTGAAGCTGTGAGTGCCTGTGTACACCAAGGTGATTCAGGAGCTGCCTGAGCTCGGTGTCTGTGTCCGGCCCAAGCCTGCAGTGCCCAGCGAGCAGCAGGGATCAGAGTGGGCTCGCTCTTGAAATGAGCACTTCTCGAGTAGGAGGAAAAGAACCCCTGGTAAGGCTGAGCACAGAGGAAATTATTTACTTCTCATAGAAACCATTCCCTGTCTTTTGAGAATTTATTGTATTTATTCTATTGTGCAAGCATACTTCATACTCCTGCCTCTGGACCGGGGCAGCAGTCACCTGAAGGGAAGCCTCACCTTAGTCAATCTACAAAATGTGTGTTTGCTTTTTAAACGGGAAGTGTCAGGGACTGCTGCGAGCCCCGCCGGGCACCGGGATAGCTGACGGAGCCAGTGTGGATCGAGCCCTCCCGCACGCTTCCAGTGCACAATAATTAACACGTCTGCAGTGCAGCAACGGCCTTGCTTCTCTTACACCAAACCACAGAACAGATGATGTTCCCAAGCCAATACTTAGTTTGAGCTTTATTTTTAGAAACAGAAACAGGACTGTGGAAGATGTGTAAATACATATATAAAAAACAACTGGAGACAAGCATAACGTAGCTGACCTCCAAGGTCGTTTCCACACTGAAGGGGAAGTTTTGCATGCATACAAAGTGGAACCTAATCACTTCGTAGCCATTTGTGTAATAATGGTAATCAATAAGACTCAAGAACAGACTCATGACTTTTTTACTCCAGTGCCAATTCCATTTAATTACAAAGTTTGAGTTAAGTTTCAGGAAACTCTTGCCCTCAGCTCCTGGAGGGAGGCCAAGGTGGTAGGAAATTGGAGGCTGAGAGCAGTGTCCTTCAGATGGACAAATACGGAGCAAAGCGGGGCCCTGCTGCTGGCCACATCTCATGGAGGGTAGGTCTGGCTTTGAGCAGGCCCCTGATTACCCAGAAGCAGCTTCCCAGAGAAATCCCTGAAGCCTCTGCCCTTACTTCTCCATAAACAGATGAGGAGGAAGATGAAGGTGGAGGTTTTGAGCAGCGGACACATGAGAAACGCCAGGTCTAAGGTGAAGCCCATCGTGGGGACCGAGCTGCGTGCCGAGGGGCCTGTCTGCGACGCTGCAGTAGCCACGGCCGGGGCAGCGCTACCCAAGAACAAGTTTGCGCTGACGTCGCTCTGCCTCGCAGAGGCTCCAGCAGCAGCCTCCTCGAGCAGCCTCCTCGAGCACCGGTGACCTCTCGCTGTGCCTAGCGGGAAGGCCAGCCCAGCCCGTGCAGCCAAATCCCCCGGGCTGCTCCGCGATAGCTGCTCGGAAAGGAAACCCACTCGGTGCCAGGGCCGCGCGGGCTCTCCGTGGCCTTCCGAAACGGGAGGCAGGAGCCCCCCGCAGCTCCGGGGCTTGCAGGCAGGTGGGATTCCTCCCAGCTCCCTGCATTCCAGCGGAGGTGCGGCCGGAGCAGCCCTGCTTGTGGGCAGAGCACCCGCAGGGCAGGGAACGCGGCGCTACCGCAAGGAGGGCTCAGCTCCTTCTGAACCTCCTGCTCCTGCAGAAGTTCCTGCAGGGAAACGCTGCTCCTGCGGCGCCTTTAGCATGCAGGAGCTGACGGTCTGCACACCTGAGCAAACTAAATAGATTCACCATCCAGGCACTCCTGGAATATCTCATTTTGCAACAGAAAAGAAGCAGAGGCAGACGGAGCAGTTCCCCAAAATATGGGATTCATCCCTGTAACAGGGGTAATGTTACATGCTTTAACACTAATGCAGGGCCGAGAGCCCTAAAAGTAAAGCTGTAAAGTCATACTTGATTAGTAAGAAAAGCTGGTCCTTAAGAAATGACTGGTCTCCCTGCACTCATAAAACAAAATAAAACAAAATAAAACAAAATAAAACAAAAATATCCTGAAACTAGCAAAGGAAATGGTTTAAAGGAGGAATTTTAAATGAAGAAGTTCAAAAGAAAATGCAGGATTTGCCACGGTAAGTAGGAAAAAAATGATTTAAGGCTGAAAAATTGCAGTCAGAAAGCACAGCAGAAGTATTCTAGCTTAAACCAGAAAGCAATCAAAAAGAAATGATGAGCATCCTGCCCTTCATGGAGTAAGCGAGCAGAGGGTATAACCTGGTGTGCCCTGGGCAGAAGCTGCAAGAGTTTGGGATTATCAAATCATGAAAAGCGGGAAAGTTTTCTTTAATGTGTCAAAATAGGCAGCAAAACTTTGCAAGGAATAAAACCAGTCCTCAGTGTATGTGAAATGCCTTCTCTGAGCTGCCTGTTCTCCGACTTACATAAAGTCACTGTTTTATAAATACCACATAATTCAAACTGCTGTCCCCTGCCACAGCCCATCAGCGTTTCTGGTTTAACTGTTGAATTTGCAATCCAGACTCAATTAAATGAGCTTACAGTTTTAACACAGGGATCATATATTGGGTTTGTCTGGCACATTCCTCTGCAGCTGGGAAGTAAACCCAGGGCAGAGGAGCCATTAACCTGTGAACTGTCTTTGAAGCCATCGCCCACGATACCAGACCTCTGCGTCGCGCTCATTTCACCGCGTGCGTCTGCTCCCATTCAATGCCAACGTGCGAGAAGCAGTAGAGGAATCCAAGAACAGAGAGCGTTGCCCATGGCCAGCCTAAAAATAGAAAGACAGACAATCCCAGTCAGAATAATTAATGAGCGCTGCGAGGAGAAGTAGGCTCTTGGGACGAACAACTTATGATGTGTCTAATTAATTTTATTATCGGCTCAGTATTGTAAGTAGAGCCAACCCACAAAATCTGAAAAAGGAAAGCTGTATTGCCCAAGCTTTGGAGGTGGGCAGCCCATCAGAGACCTGCTCTTGGCCATGTGCAGGGAGCTGGATCAGGTTCCTTTCTGCTCAGTACCTCCAAGTGACACTTACTGAAGCGAAGATGTCTATTTTAGTCCTCTCTTTTGTGGCTGGGTTGCCCATCAAGCAGATCCCCATTTGAACCTTGACATTCACAGCAGGCTGTGCTGCTGCCCAAAGGGATGCAGAGCTATTAGGTGAGTTATTAAAAATCAGAACAAAGCTTCACCAGTTACCTGTCTGCAAAAAAAAAGGCGGCTGAGGAAACCTCTGATTAAAGCTGTTTTGGATGACCTGCAGCTGGGTGTCAAATTGATGTACGTGTCCTACAGCCCTGTAACAGCTATTGGGGGCACAACAAAACAAGTATCTCCAGAGTATTTTTTAAACACCAAAATCATGGTTTTTTTTCATTCCCACCAGTGAAACCAGGCTGCTGCAGTAGTGAAGCAAGTTTCATGCTGAGCAGTAAGATGAAGCCTAGCAGTGCTTTGTCTCTCATAAGTTTTTATATAAAAATGTCAATGGCAGCAATAATACCTTTTTCCAGCTGCAAGAGTTTGTTGTAACATTCTTTATAGAGCCAGGGCCAGAAAGTTTGAAATGGATGGATACTAGAAGTGTTTACCTTTATTTTTAAGGGTGCTTTCAGAAACCTTGCTAGGTACCTATTTGGCATTTGTAAATACTTTGAAAATCTGGTACTCAGCAAATGAGTCAACACTAGCCTTTAACACAGCTTAGTCCTCGTCCCAAGCCACTGTACCACATCTTACGTGGAAGGTCTTGGCAGAGCACCTGAGTCTACAGGGGGAATTTCTAGATATCTCTAGGTTTGTGACACCAAAGGTGAGCAGGGCGCTGCTTCCTGGCAGGGGGTTCCCCTGCCTCTCTTACCACCCTAAAGCCCAAACCTCCACACAGGGAACGTCGTCGCTGTGTGACCTCCTCCCAGCTCCACACACAAGTGCAGGATGTGCGTTCTGGCTCACGAGCTCTCGGTAAAGTGCGGTACAAAAAACGTACTTTAAAAACATCATTAGTGAGGTTGTCAAACCAAGCACACAGCCACTAGGAAATGACTGAGGTAACTTTGCCTTTCAAACACAAGGCTTTGTTGACTGTCTTCTATAAATTGATTTTAGACTTGAAGGCCAAGTTTCATGACATGACACAGATTTTCATCAACATTTTTTTTTTGAAAGATCCATTAGTATTTGTTAATGTGTGTTATTTATATGTCCTGGAACAAATCCATGTGCTATTGGCAAATCTAAACCTGTTTGTAAACCTGCACAAATTTCTTCTAAGATGGCTGGACTTCCCTTCTTACAGAGAAGCACTGGGTGAGAAATATTTACGGAATCACAACCAAATTCAATAATTATACAGGTAGACTGCTCCACAAAAATCAAATATGGGCTTCTTTGTTTGAAAAAGCTGAGAGGGTTTTGTAACCTGTGGAGAGGAGCAGCAGTGCTTTAGCTGCCTGTAATGACGTATCACGTAACCCACCTCTCCCCAAGAAATGCCCGTTCCCCAGGGTGCAGGGGACACCGCTCTGCTGCACCAGCTGAGGCCCTGCTCATCATTCTTGTTGGTCTGAAATCCTACACACCAATTTTTTTTTGTACCCAGCATCACGAATGGAATGCCTGCTTTCGTTATGAGGTTGTAACAGTCATAATGGAGCTAATGCAAACTTAATTCCAACAGCAACAGCTTTCACAGCTACTCCCTTTGAACTGACTATCTTTTCTTCAAAAATGCTTCTGGACACCTCCAGCACATCCACAAAAAGTCATGTTTCTGGCACATTCTGGATATTGAATTGAAGGGAACAGGATCAAACCTAGCTTTCAAGTAGCAGTTTGGCTCACAGCTCTCAAATGTCCTCATTACCTCACCTCAAATCATCTCAAACCACATTTTTTTTTGTATCCATAATGAATCTCCTTCATGTTTCCTCATCACAACATCACCAAAACACTGGGAAATGGCACTTTGTACACTCCAGCTTGTAAGACTTAAGAGCTAGAGACACTAGTTGCATTTTGCATTTTTAAAAATTGCCTCAGTAGCTTTGGCACCTGAGTCCTGCTTTCAAATGTGACTTGGGCACAGAATAGCTGTGATGTGAGTAGGAGTGAGGAGCCATCTCCCTCTGAAAAGCCTGACTTCTCAGGCTGTGATTTCGATTTGTAAGTATCCAAGTTGCTGCAAGGCCTTGCACTTGGGAAAATCAATCCTTGTGATAAGAAGCAGCTACCCTGTAAAGTGGAATTAAGGATAGAGAAGTGTGGGGAGCAGGAGGAAAGAGTTTAAGAAGCTACAGCAAATCAGTGTTGCAGGCCAAGACCTCTCACCTATGCTACCTTCCTTACAAATTCAGTAACACTGCCACATTTTCAGGAGAAAACCCCTAATTCAATAAATAATAAATAAATTGGAATAAACCTATTATCTAGCCCAACATTTGAAACAGAGGATAATGATTGGATTTTTTTCTCCTTTCCAGGACTATTTATCACTTCTGGGTGGACTGATGCTGACCACCACAGGAGGACATGCCCAACAGAGCCTGTTACAAACACTGCACTTTAATACCTGATTACAGAGCTCAGGGAGTTGGTAATGGAAACGCCATACACTTTCAGCCGTGTTACCATTTGACAGGTAGATGGGGGTCCAAGTTATGCAAAGCACATCGAGGTGATCTGACTTACCCAAAATGGCATAAAGAAAATGCTAGATCTGCTCCATCTCTGTATGTTACACTCGAGCTCAACAGAGCTGGCTGTGATCTAAAAGCGATTTACAGAATTTCACCTCAATTTACCCTCCCATGACTCGGCAAGCTCTGTACTACCCTGAGAACTTGATTAGAAATGCAGCTTCTCGCCAGCCTGCTAGGAATGGCTTTGGCCAGGGAAGAAGGCTTTGCAATATTCACATTCTTCCTCATCTCTTGAGTTGGGGCTTTCATTTATCTATCTATCTATCTATCTATCTATCTATCTATCTATCTATCTATCTATTTATTTATTTACTTATTTACTTATTTACTTACTTATTTATTTATTTTTATGCTCCATGTTTCTGCATAGGTTCTTAAAAATCTCAGAGCATGCACTGCAGTATTCACAGTGGCTGCAGTGCAGAGCATCTTTGGAGGCAGCAAAACTTGTAATAAATGTGCTCTTTGCCTAAAGGCTAACTGATGCTGCCAGTTTCTGGATTTTTCAGTGTAAAACAGAAGATGCTGCTTCTTAACACTCAGCTCTGAATGTGACTGTGGTGCCTTTTTTTCCCTTTTTTTTTCTCATTACCAATATGGACATTACTGTCTCTTGGCAGTGGATTCTCCCTCTCCTTGTTGGAGGCAGAACCTCTCTTAATGACACCCAACAGTGACACCAGCAGCTCCAGATGCCTTAGAGTATAGATGAGAAGCACCGTTTCCATCTATAGATTATATAACATGAGCAGTGGATGCTGGTAACTTCTCTCTATAGTTCTTGATATTTTTTTTGATGTTATTATCTGACTTCAATTCTGCCTTAAGTATTTTTCATTCTAAATGCTCTGGGAAGGACAAAAGATTTGTAGCAGCTTTGTCTTCTGCTTCGAATTTTGCAGTGAAGTGTCCCAGCCTACGACTTTCTCCAACAGTTAGCAAGTAAAAAAGTCTGAGATTTTAGGCAGCAAATCTCTAAGTAACTCCGGAATAATCCAACAAAAAACCAAAGAACTATATTAGTGGAAATGCTGAATGTGAATCAGCAGTAAAGATGACATTAAAACTGACGAGCATGAATCTTTCTCCTGCAGGTAATAAGAAGAAAAAGAAAAACCAAAACCAGCTTTAGTTTCCAGGGATAAATCTATAAATCAGAACCAACCTTCCTTCTCCTCCTAAGTCTGTAGGAAGAGAAGCTAATATAAAAACTCAAGGCACAATAAATAGAAAATCTCACTATTTATTTTCCAGCAAGGTATCTAGCTTAGCATGCATAAAAATAGCATTATGCTTCTGATTAAAAAGTTGCTAAGATATTCCTAATATAACCTCCCTACTTACTGTGTGAACAATTATAGAAAGCTAATACTTGCAAGGATTTTATGCATTTTCTACTTGCAATTATTTGCTGATAGCCTTCTAGGTAAAAATCAAAATATCAGAGTGAAGAGCCTCTTTTTGTTATAGTGACTCAATGAAATATTAGAACAGAAAGCTAAATTCACAGAAAGGTGTAAGCTGTCCACAGGCTGCACTAAGGCCTGGCTGGGAACGTCGCTGCCCTGAGCTGTAGATCTGGCATCCGTCCTTGCAGCCAAGCAGAGAGGTTCCCATCACACATATGGGAGCAGAGCGAGCTCCCAGTGCTTGGATTTCATGAGGGTATTTGTATTTATCTAATTGTGGCTCTCCTTTCTTGGATTAGGTTTGTATGTCACCTCATGCAACAAATATCCTTCTCCAACCCCTGAGCGCTGGTACCAAGGAACACTTAGGAAATCAAGGCTATGACCTCTCAAAAACAGAGAATTTGAACCAGAATTTCAGATATTATCCAACATTGGCGGCCAAATATCTGTGTAAAAAGGTAAAGTACTAATTTATAGTACTTTACTTTATTATTAAATAAATTTAATAATTTATTTCCCCTGCTGTAATTTCTGGTTAGGGTACCCGAGCATGGTCATGACTATAAAATGCCCAAATGACCATAAAAGAATTAGTTTTTAAAAGTGAAGCACTACTTAAGGACTAATTATCCATTCCTCCCCTCTTACAAGAT